CTTTTGACCCCTTCCCATACCCGACAAAAATATTAACCCGTTTATAACATGTTAATTAATGTTTAAAAACACATAAACAAATAGCATGCAACCCACAATAATAATTCATATACATGTAATAAACCCATAAACATGTACATAAAAAATATCGTAATGCTCAAATAATTTGTACATAAGCATGCATCTCAGTTAAAGTCTCATGAAAACTCACATGAATAGCTCTGTTTGGCTAAACCTCGTCCCTGAATAACATCCTATAACATGTAATTATATTTCAATAATTAGAGTATTGACATTTCTCCAAAAAAGTCAACCCGAAAGTCAAATAGGTCAACTTTGGGGGTAAGAATGGTCAACGGGTCAACCCCAAGCATACCTCGTCGCCATATACCCCCTCCCTAATGAAATTATTTTCACATCCGAAATAAATTACGACGTATTAAACCCAACATTTAATTATTTACGATTCTCGTTATAAAAACGTCCGATCCCACAATTATCTAGTCATAACTCCCGAAATAAGTTACTAAATTATTTCTTATAATTTAAATATGGAAATCCAATTAATTAATAATCTTTACAATTGACGTCCAAATCTTGACCAACTTAATCAAAACATCCCGATTTATTTCGATTAATCCAAGTAAATAAACGAACCATAAATCTATTTTTAACAAACACATATTTTAACAAAACAACTAGAGTCTAACCGAACTCGACCGAAATAAGTCGGCCATGGCCTAAACCTGGTCTAGTGTCGGCGGACTCAACTCGACGCCCGGCCCAACCCGGTCGCACCCTTGGTGCGGCTATCGTGAACGATTTTCGTTTGAGATATTTTTCCAATCGTTTTTCACCAAAATTTTTACAAAATCTTATACATAATAATAATAATCCCAACTTGTATCCAAATTTACAGCCCCTACGGTTCAATATTAAACTCGTATTTTGAGTTTTTGTACCCGAATCTCGTCGAGCCGCCGCCACAGCAGCTTCTAGCCTAAAACGCTCGACGTACAAGTCACCATAGCCCACGAGACTTATACCAACAGAAAGGTAATTGAAAAACGAAGCCAACCATATATTATACATCAATTTTGGTTGAGTATTTTACCTCCAATCACCCGTTTTGTGCGGAATGACCCTATGCCGCTTCAAACTCGATATCTCTCTCGTTTCTTGATGAGATCTCGAAATTTCAAAGACGTTTACTCCCTTACATCCTTAGGAACGTCTCCACAAAATTTCAGCCGAAAACTCCAATTTATAAGCCGTTAACCATCTCTAAAACAAGAAAAACGTGATTTTGGGAAATGATTTCCCAAATCTCATCACTTCCAAATTAATTTTCTACTTTTGACAGAACTAGTCCCTTTTGTTTTTCTTTCTGCATTTTCATCCCAAATCAATTAAATACAAAATGTTTCATTTCCCTTTTTATTGATTTTATTTATTGCAATAAAATCATATTTTTCGAGTATCGACACTTTAATCCCGTATATCGTTTACTCTTTAAATTTTAACCYTTAACATTTATTTATTTTACGAATAATAAATTTTTAGGGTGTTACAGATCAGATCGTAACTGATATCCAGAGATACAGAAAAATCTCAAACTTATACAGAGAGGTAGATTTACTGAAATAAAGGGTTAAAGTTAATTTTCAGTAAAAGGTTGAAGAT